GACTTCATGCCCTCCCGCACCACGAGTTCGAGTAAGGAGCCATGCACACTGACCTGCGAAGATCTGCGTTGCGACCACTGCAACCGTCGCAGTTCGTTGCAATCGGTCGCATTGGAGATGCGTGGGACCTTCGCAGGTCGCGGTACCCTTCGCAACGGAATCGGACGAGTCATTTCCTGTCGCATCTTCGCATTGGTTCGTGCTACGTATCTATTGACTGCAAGTTATGGAATCGTTAGATATTGGTTAGATATTGAATTTGGTGGCTCTTTTGTAGACTTTGGCGGTAGATGATGCCAATCATCACCAATGAAATCTCCATGAACGAGATACATAGATATACGAAATAAATCTCCATGAACGAGATACATAGATATACGAAATAAATCTCCAAGAAAGGTCTCGATGCCATTTATATTCTTGATCATTTTTTCATTTTCCTTATATCCATAAATTTTAATATTAATTTAAGTTGAGAAGCACTTGTTCTCCGAGTGCAAAAACCTGAGTCGTACCCTCTTTCAAGAGAGTGCTGCATAATTCATACGTATTTGAGATATACAGAATATTTGTATGTAGTATGCATTTACCCAAGTGTCACTGCCACCATTTGCGCTGGGAAATGCATGGTCTGAAGTTTGTGTCCTGCCTTCTCCTCCAGCAAACCAAGAAGGGTCTTGAAAGGCTCAGGAGACATTCTCATGGACATAGGCGAAAAACACTCCTTGTCTTCGATATTTTCCTCTAGCGTCGCGAAAACTCTCGTCGTCAGACGGGATATGTTTACAAGAAGAGTGCAAAAGTACTCGTCCTGTACACAGATCCTGTCACACAGATCCCCCCAGGGGCCGCAAAAAAGGAGAAGTGTCGCAGCACGAGCTCTCAAATCGTACACACCCATGTTGAATTTCGCTTGGGAGCTCTGCTGCTAGTGTGAGAGATGCTTCGCATACGGTCGCAGTCAAGAAAGGACTGCGAACTTCGCAGACGATCGTTGTGCAGCTTTGCCGCAGCTCTTCGCAGTCGGAGTGCATCGACCTTAAAACATGACCGTAGAAGACCTTGAGATTCCGCCGATGCCCTTGAGGTTCCAATCGCCGTATTCTCCTTTCGGTTTCGTATGTGAGAGGAATGGTGAAGAGGGCTTTCTTCGAAATGCCGATAATGACATTTCGATGAATCGCATTTCTCCCCGTGAAACGCATTCCTCATGAACGAAAACGGATATTAATTTATCGGGACTTTTTGCCGTCACTTCTGCATGATTCATTTATCAGAATGCCGAATATAAAGAACAAATCACCCAAAACCGAGTTACAAAACGTACACATGGGGTGTTGAATAAATAAAAAAGTCACGCCGGTTAATCTTCATAAGGGCTAAATACGTGTAGCATTCACGTCCATGCAAAAAAAGTCAATCCATGTTTCATTCCAGCTAAAGTTTATCTTCTGTATAGGAGACAATTTTTTAGAAATAAAACAGAGATTACCCAATTTGGTCTGAACAATTTTATTTGAGTCGTCAATCATTGATATAATGTAGGATTTGGTCTTGCTTCCAGATTCATTACCTTGGACCAAGCATATATGATCGCTATCATCGCTAAGTCGTGCATCGCAAAATCATATGAACTATTGGAGTGCTACATTTGCCAAGGTCCAAAGCAGTACTCTCCAACTCGTTCTAACTGGAAAGTAGATGAAAAATGAAGCTTGACCAAAGCTGGTTTCCAGCTAGAATTTCCCATGTAAACGGAGAATTTTCTCGGACTAATCGAGACTTTCGTTAGCTATTTCCTGGTGGAGTCTAGTTATGGAAGGAGCTGGATTAAATACCTAAATTTAATCTTATCTCATGTTCCATGTGATTTTGAATTTTTTTTTAATTTCAGGATGGCTTGTAGCTGTGATTGCGGGTGCCATCAGCACTCTCCTATCAGCAGACTCATCTAGTGCCCCTCAACTGACCTGTTGGGCATGGAAATGGCTAAGAATGGCTAATAGTAAGTAAGTAACTTGCATTAATCGTGCGTCCTCAGCATTGTTCAAATTTTGCGTGTTACTTATTTAGTAATTATTTGTCCATCCATTTGCTGTTATTGACAAAAACGGAGTGGAATCTAAGCTATCCCTTATCCAGGCAAGGGGGTTCCGTTGGACCCCCAAGCCTCAAATTTTCTAAACAGCATTCAAACCATTGCAGACATTTTCCTGTAATTTTTAGCAATTGTCCTTTAAGTTAAGGAGATCCTGGCGCCAGAACATCACCAACCTGAAAATTTTCTAAATATAATTTTTAAAAATTACTTTTTGATTTGAGTAGCGTAACCGGGCAAGGGGGGTCCATTGGACCCCTACTACGCTCCATGTACGCATGCAAAATGTTATCCCCTGATTCCTCCCTCTTTCACAGCTTGATCTCCTAAAATTTGCCGAAAGAGCATTCTGACAACTAGAGTATGAGAAAAAAGGAGGAAAGAAAGGAATCCCTGATTTTATCTTACGCTTATGGAGAAGGATTCCTCCCGAAGCAAGATTTTCCGAAGAGATGAGTCGCTAAGGTGAAATTCGGGTAATTCCAAAAGAATGTTGCCTCTAACACATTCGCACTTGTCTTCTTTTTTTTTTATCCCTGTGGGACGTGCTGGAATAACGTTATTCCCTATATGGTTCGGTATAGCATAGCCATGACGCCGGGTCGGTCTCACCCAGCGTTTGTGGTTCGGCTTCATCTGAAAACTTTCTTTCTTGTTGTGTTGTTACTTGTTTTTTTTTTCCCACGTTATGCTAACTTAGTTTCTTGATCTATAGGCTTTGGATTATGAAGCTAAGAATGGGATAATGCAAAAATGCATTCAGAAATCTGAGACTAATGATCAGACATCGAAGCCGTAAGTTTATATACCTCATAAACAAAAGTTTACAACAATTTCATGATGCAACTTTCTTGTAAGTTAAGCTTTTATTCTTTGTCTGGGACCACATCAACTTATTTTATTCATGGCACCAGGGTTAATGCTACTACAATCACATAAGGTGAACACCACATGTGTAAAAAAGAGACGGTAAATCTGATGTAAAAGGTACCCCGAAGGTAACAAATTGTAAATTACAGGTGAAAGGTAAACGTAAGTGCAGGTGAAACACAGGGGGAAAAAAAACACGGGCGAGAAAGAGGGGAACTATGAAACTGAGGTACATTACAGGTAAGAATGCGGTAAAATATCGCGGTGTAATTCGACAGCAGTGGAATTCAGACAGTGAAACAGGGGTGGAAAAATCGGAAATTTTCCCATTTTTAGACCTTAGTTTTACCATCCAAATTTTACTGAAGATTAAAAAGTTGTTCTGGATGCAAATTAATTTCGAATTAGTTGTGAAATTCATCGGAATCAATAAAATAAAGACGTTGCTTCATGGAAAGCGTGTTTTCGCCTTCTGTTTACCCCCACTATATACAGTACTTAAAGTAATAGGGGGGTCCAATGGACCCCCCTTGCCCGGTTACGTTCGTCTTTTACCTTGCCCGGATAAGGGTTAAACTGCTTCCTTCTTATGAAGTCTATACAGTAACCTATCAACATTTCTCATAAACTCTTGAGAACGACCATAGAATTTCCACTAGGGATCATCCAGCTAGAATTGAACTGAATTGACGGTTGTAATCTAGTTGCTTCCATAGCTGAACGTCAGCAAGCAGCAGCCAACGAAACCATTCTCAGTCCAAATGAGAAATTTTAGCAGAAACCCAGCCTGGATTTAGCTTTTTATTTTCCAACAGTTTCCCAGTTAGAATGTGCTTGAATTAAGAACTGCAATCTGACTGGAATTCATAGCTCGGATTTTAAACTGGGTGGCAACCAGAGACATAATGAAAAGCAGTTTAAGGATAGAAGTGGGGGGTGGTAGCTGCTATCCATTTTTCAAGTTTAGTCTGATTTTTTTTTCCAATACTCCATCGCGTACCAATAGATTTGATGCCATGTACCGTTTTGGGCATGCGTGCTACAGGCTCGCTATCACTGTCATATCCTCTCACTCCAATCTGAGTTACTCATCTCGCCTAAGAAAAATGGTTCTGGTTGAAGCGTCTCAATCAACCACGCCTACTTAATTATAGTTCATGAAAAAGTTTCAATGAGGGGGGGGGGGAGGGTGCAAATTTAAACATATTAGCACCATATCCTGATGAGTATAGATATCGTGGTCACCTCCTCATAACATATTTGGATGAACTATTGAGAACAATTTGCTCTTTTCTTTTATCCATGAAGGGCATCTACAGTCTTCCTATAGTTATCCACCGTAAGGTCAGACATCATACTCAGCTATTGTGTTCCACGCATTCACTATCTGACAAGTAAATGAAAATTACCCGTTGTTTGAAATTTACTTGACGGAAAGGAGGTGAAATTACCCCATGTAATTTCCCATTAAGTATTCCGGAGGAGTGGACAGCCCACATCCTTCATATTTTCTACATTGACGATCGCCTCGGGGAAGGACAAGAACTAACAGTGCAAGACATTGTCAGTCAGTGAGTGATCGAGGCGGAACTGATTCTGTGAAGCTACGAGGAAAAAGGAAAAATCCCCGACACGTCATTATCACATGGTTAGGGCCACATGACGTACACGCGCAGTAGGATGTAGGTAGAGGCGAGTCGGAGCTCGGAACCAAGGAACCGAAAGGCGGAAATCCAATTTGACCCTACAGGATATGAACAATACCTCTATCAAAATCCAGGACCTCGCGGGCAGATTTGCTAATCAATTAAGAAATAGTCATAAGGTACAAGTTATTATGCACGGATCATCATGATCCCGAAAATGATGGAAGGTGATTGAAAGAATACCAGAGCGCACCTCTAAACGTTCGGAAACGGAATCCTCGATGTTGTTTTCCGACTAAGCGTACTGCATGAATCACTTGCGTAGCCCACATTATCCGTTATTCGTGTGATGTTGACCAACCTCGACATATCCCGAATCTGTAGGAATGAAGTACGCCAGTAGGCTTCTTGAGTGGACTAGGTCAACATTGCTGTGTGACGTTTCCCGTTCTTCCATTTCGACCTCTGCTTTCTTTTGTTTTACAAGTTCTGGTTTTAGGCCTAACGTTTTGGGTATTAGGTAGGCTTACAGCAATTTCCGCATCTGTTACAGTTACAGTATTTGTGTTGCGTAAATGCAGTTTCAGTTGAGCACCAACAGAGTTATGGAAGCAGGAGAGAAACTACAATAAGAGGCTAGTTGATTAAAGGAAGATGCCAAATTGATTTTATAAAACTGAATAGTTGCATACAGCCTAAGAGAGCAAAGATATGGGATTGGAAGTGAAGGACGCCCTTGACATGGCTCTCACAGTGGATGGGATTTCTGGAAAGAATTTTATTCAACCTTCTTTGATTCATAATGGTTATAATGAGGGCTGCCATAGATCTATGTTCTTTTATGAGCTTTCCTGGATTTAGCTAGTAGCATTGAGTTCTATTGAGTTTTCATTTGGCCTAACTGGATATCAAGTGAAACTAAAGGTAAACTGAAAATGTGGCTAAATTCATCTGTTCTTGGAATTTCTATAAAGTTTTTCTTCATGATTAATTCTAATGTAGAAAAAATAGGCCAATAAAATCGCTCAGAAGTAATTGTAAGCTTAGGCCTACAGTGGATTTTAATTTTCATTTGATTGAGTCCAAGCGTAGAATATGTTAGAACCTCAAGAATAGGATGAAGCACATGTAAACAGGTGAAAAGTCAACCTGAAATTACTCTAGGTCTAACATTAGGCTCAGGGCTTCAATAGTTATGTTTTGGGTATGGCTAGGACTAAGCCTAACGTTATATTCAAGTCCTGTTGCAGTATCACATCTGATCTTGTTTGTCTAGTCTTAAGCTTGTTCATAAGTGTTTCAGGGCCGATTGCATGAACAATGTTTTCCCGGTGTTTTTTGAAAGTCATCAGTTAACCGATGTCTAAGGCCAAAAATGGATTGCATGAACGCTATCTTCCTTTAACCATTGTCTAACCGATGTCTAACAGAAGCTGAAAAAGGTGTTGTTTCCAGACAAGGGATGGGGCATGTTTTGCCGATATTTATGCCAGCGTTCGTGTACCATCTCGATGAGTATAGCACTGCAGTGCACTGGTGAAGCACAATGGATTCTGTTTATGGATCCGCACGATAACGATGATGTGCTCTCGTCGTTGCATGGGAGGAATAAACATATGTTCTCAGCTTAATCCCTTTGAAGAATATGTCGATTAGAACTTCCACGTGAGATACCAATTTGGAAAGGGATCAGGGTATGATGTCGACCTGCTTCGTGCTGAACTTGAATGGAATGAAGATCGTGGAAGGGATCCCTTAACTTTACATCGACAGATAAGAGCAATCACTGTTCGTGTGCAATGAATCATGATTTGTTCAAGTACCCATCCCCTGAGTAATTAATTAATATGACTCGAAGGTAAAGAGAGTATCATGAAAGCCTTTTGATTTGCATGTTGTGCTGACCCTTCGATTTTATGTGGCGTCGATTCCAAGAAATGGAATGGCGCAAGCCATTACCCATTTGCATCGCTCATTACATTCCTAGGAGGAAAAACGGAGACGAAGATAATTATTTGATATTGTCAGATTCCCAGGTCATCGACGACTGTCGTACTCGAATAGAATGCCCAGACAACCTTAATCAATCACAAATGCTTCTATTTCATCGATGTCCAAGCAGTGCGCGATGAGGAAGGGATTATTACTGAATTATTAGGAAATTATTACTGAAATTGTCATCATGTGACCAGAATCCACACACAATTCTCGAATACCCTCATTTTGCAATCGTACACAAATGATACTCATATTTTTCACATTTCCTACTTCTCCGTGTGTCCAAAACGAATCCTTGGCTTTACCTCTGATATATCGAAATACAGAGTAAGGTCAGAGGAGAACTCATCAGTTTCCAGGCATGATTATTTGTTGTGCAAGGAAAGTGCATTATGTCTCTCTCTATCGTGAGATTCTCCTTTACAAACTCTGCGAGATATGCTTAATAGTCTGAGGAAGGGTTCTCCTTTTCACTTGATTCGCTCGTTTTTTGTGGAGTCCGAAGTATATTACGCTCCAACTGAGGAGTCAGAACGTGCTATATGTACCATGAGGGGTGTTTAGCTATCGTCTAACCATCGGCTATGAAAACATGGCTTAGGGATCGTTCATGCAATCGAAAGTAGACAGCAGTTAACCGTTTTCGTAGACAATGTTTAAACAATGACTATCGATAATCAATGTCTAAAATAAACATCGTTCATGCAATCGGCCCTCAGTCTTTCAGACATTGGGCTCCAGACCAAAAGCTAACAAATGAGATAATTTCCTTGCCTTTGATATATTTTTTCCAGGACAGTATCGCAGAGATTGGTCCAGGTTTTTGATGACAAGTTAGCTTGTGAGAAAGGAAAACCAAAGATGTCTCTGTACCCATCACTTGAGGATATGCATGTGGACCACATGCTCAAGGTTAGTCCATCAAACACTGTGGGCCTAATTTTAGGATTTAATTGCCTCTTCCTGGCTTAAAGGAAATCAGGATTAACCTTTTATCAGGGTAAATGACAAGGTATCGCTCATTATTTTTAACACCCTCTTCTTGCTACTCAGTACTCAAAGGACTCCATCTCTGTCACCTGCTTCTACCCTTCCTGAAATTTTATCCAGTTTTCTGCTGTGAAATCCAACTCTGATATCTCTGGGATGGGAGATTGAATGAGCATCAAGTTTGACCCACACAGCTAGAATGTACAGTGAGATTGGATCCAAGTTTTGAACTGTGTCTTATGCTAAGCATAGGAATCTTGTTAGCTGAAAAAGGAGCACATAAGAGCTTCACCAGTGTTCAACAGTGCTGAATTCTTGTATTCAATCATCTGTTGGATATAGTGCCCCCAAGGCTTTGCATTGATGTTGCAGGGTCACTTGTGAAAATGTTAAAGTGTTGCAGAGTTGTGTTTTAAGGAATGGTTCATAAAAATAATGGAAGGCTATGTAGTCATTTGTGACTAGCATCAGCCTTGCATGGGCTTTCTCTAATACATTTATTCAAGTCATGGATTGCTCAAAATGAGGAATGGCTTTGTGGGGGTAGCACACTGCCAGTAGAAGTCTTGGAAGACTTCTGTTGGTAGTGTGCCAGGACCTTACTTTGATCTGCCCCATTCAAACACCCCAGCCTGAATTCAATGTGATAAGCAAGGACAAGAGATCCTCCTGCACACTTGTGAGCAAAAGTGCCCTCTGCCTCCTTCATAGAACCAGTCAATATGCCATAAAATTGCTGTTATTTCTTCACTCAAACTTTCACAGTGAAAATTGTTTTTCTATTTATATTATTGTTAATACTTGCTTTGTGAATAATACTTGAAATGTATATTGGGATAAATTCTATGCCCTGTCAAGTTTGCATTGATCTGCAAAATTTTTCTGAGAAATGCCTTAATGAAGAATATTGGGCAATTTCTTCAGTAAATATGCCTTTGTTACCAAAACTGCAGTGTGGAAAGTTGCAGTATCCATTCTGATGATGGAATGAAGAGAGATGTTGATAATTCAGTCCCAGAAAAATCAGCAAGTTGTAAAGTTTAGAAATAGGCTGTGCTCAACTAGAGCATGATATGGGTCTTGGACATCCTCCATTTGAAAAGGTATTAGGAGATCTTAACTCAGATTTATCTGTGAGAATGTGACTGATGGAGGAAGCCAAGTCTCTAACATCTCATCATGCATAATTCCAAAGTAGAAAGGTAGATAGTTTTTGATTATGCTTTCTAATTGGAAAATTCTTATTTGCACCTTTTATTGATATACTGGCAATGCTATATCATGGCACGTCATACATGTGATAAATGTGTTTTCCTGCAGGCTCAGATGGATCAAGTGAGGAGGAGTAGTGAGCAGCCAGCAGCACCACCACCATATCCAATCCATCCTCAGTCTGCACCAATGCCTACTTCTTCAGATGAGAGTCTTGCTGCATTGTATCCAACCCTGAATGAATTCATGGGATTGGAATTGTCACCAGCAGTACTTCAGGCTCATATTCCTGATTACACTGTGGATGTTGCACCTTGTGTAGGTATTGATTTGTTACCTTATGAGTGTCCATGATGATAATTTAACATTTGGAGGTTCAGGGATGGTTCTTTCTTGTTATGTTTGAGAATCAGTGAAATGGAAGCTATATACTTTGTGTGGCCAAAAAAGAAAACAAACAGCTTTTAACAAGTATGTCTCCTTTGTCACTGGAACTATTTCATGAAACTTTCACTGTGCATAGATAAATATTTTTCCAACATTTCTTCAAGGTTTCTTTCAATTTTATTATATTCAGGACAATGTCTAACAAAAGGTGTGTTAATGAAAATGGACAAGAGCTCATGCTGGTAATGGAACAGAGGTCACACTTGAGTCATTTGCTTGGAAATCATCTAGGCCATATCATACTTCTCTTCCATTTAAATTCTTTCTTGGGTTGCTACTTTCTTACGGATCATCTTGATGGGCTTCATTTGAATTAATGACTGATGAATCAATGCCTACCAAACCAGAGAGTTTGCTAAAAGTTTATTCAGGTTTTCCCTTGATCTTTGTCAAAGAACAAAGGAGGACTCAGAACTCAGGAAAGCAAGTAATTCTGAAGGGATTCAAGTCTCTGTCCATTTTTGGTTTCTGTTTTATTTATTTATTGAGTAATTGCTCATGGCCCTACTTTGGCAATGTCAATTTGAAAAAAATTCTAAAATTTGTTGTGAACATATTAATGCATGTACAATAGAATTTTCATAAAAATAGCTCCAGTGTGAACATAAATATACAGGTCAAAAGTCACTGGTATTTTTTTACCATACCATATATTTATTAGTATTGCCAATTTTATTAGATTAATTTATAGGAGTAAATCACATCTAAAAATTACGTGAATTTCACTTCCAAAACTTTTAAATTACATTTGAACCTCCCATTAAATACCTGTTATCCTCTTTCACTGTATTTCTATAATTTCAATATCACCTGCATATTGTATTGATTTGTAAAGGAATATGAAGATTTTGTGGTTACAGTCAGTGTCATATGGCCCAGTATTCAGGAAAAGGACTAGGGTCTTTCTTTTGGAAAAGTAAAACACACTAGAACATAGACAATATTCTTGACTTAATGCAAAATTAAGTGAGAAGCTCATTAAGAGATGAAGAGAAAGCCCTTTTAGTGTTAATTTAATTTGTGCCTAATCTTCAGTAATAATAGTAAATATTCAAAGTTTGAATTGGCCTCCATCTTGTTCAAAGCACAACTCATCTCCTGAACTCATCAGAGTCTTTTATTTAGCTTTATCCAGTAGTTCCCAGGCATCTTTAACTCACTGAATGGGATGGTTCTCTTCAAAAATGGCTTCTTCAAGCAAGTGTTAACACATTCTCTTTCTTGTGTGATAATCCACAAAGTTGAAGTCAGATGCAATTTGGTGCCACATCGGGTCACATGATGTCATGAACACCTTCGTCCTGAATTCATGTGATCTCATGTGGCACCCACTGACTGCAATCCTTTCGTCCTGCAATTTTTAATGCAAGCTGCCCTTAAATCCCTGTACTCCAGCAACTGTGTTTCTACTGTTATCAACTGAAATTACAGATGCAGATAAGAAAATCAATTTTATGTGGGGTATCCTTGGGGCAAGCTGTTCAGTACTGTTGATATACAATTCTTGGAAAATTGTGTCTTAGATTACAGCAGGAGACAGCAACATTACCAAACTTCATAATCTTCTGAATTCCTGAATGCAGAGGCATCAAGCAATAGCTTTAATTTATCATTACAAATGCACAGGTTTTTGTAATGAACCTCTCATACCTCATCTGGTAAGACACCATGGTACATGGCCAGATAGATGACATCCATATAGCCAAAAGCAGTAACAGTTTCAGTTGTGAGTGGAATTTCATCAAAAGAGAAACTCCTAATGTGTGGTGCTAGAGATAATCCCCTCATGCCATTCTTAGCTGGGAAGAAGAGGAGTATGCAAGGGGCCCATGTTTTGCTTCATAGCCGAAAGTATATATGCATCTCACTATCTTTCTTGGGTCTTTTAATCAAGGTATTTTTATCCAATTGGATTCAGCTTGTGCCGTAAAAGGTGTGCTGGTACTTATTTCATTACTTGGAATTAATATCTTGGAAAGTAATATGCAATGAGTTTTAATGAGTTATGATTTTTTTCTGATATGAATCTAGTCTTTTTTTAATTGCAGAGGGAAGTTGCTGTACCTGCCCCAGCTTCTATTCAAATGATTGCTCCACTGTCAGGGGCTTCTGCTGGCCTCATGCGAGCTCAAGTGTCTCATGGTGTACGTGAGGTAAGTGCTCCAGATTCTACCTGAGCTGTGGTTGGATTCTGCTGATCCATCAACCCTGTATTTTTTAAATGGAATTTGAAATATTGTGATGTTTCACTTTGTTATCATGCTGAAATTTGTGTTGACTGAAGAAAGCAGCTCTGATGTTGATTGTTGGTATTGGGTACAAGAACCAGGCAAGTGCATTTCAAAGAGAGCCTATGATTCCCAATTGTTTTGTTGACAACTCATTTTGAAAATTTTTTCTTGACAAAATGTGAAATTCAGTCTGCCACTCATTTGTGCAATTTGTCAGGCTACAGATAAGATTGATAAATTTTAGAGTCCATTTCTTGGAAATTAAGCTGTTGTTTTTATCTTGGGTTATTACTTAATGAAACTAAATCAGAAACAAACTCATCATTCATCATGGCTGAGGTAGAAAACTTCAGCATGATAAAGTGACTAGTGATAGTGATAACTGATAATTGAGTGTTGACATGTTCACAATGCAAGTGAGTAGATGCTAGAGTACTTGTAATTTCTTATTTGTGAATATTGACAAGATACCAGTTACTGACTCTAAAATATCAATATGAGTGTAGAAATTCAATGCTCATGAGGTTGAAGAGTATATCATTTGTTTTTTTTTATCAAAACAGGTGGTCCTTTGCAAGAATGACAAAGGAAAAGTTGGATTGCGAGTGAGAGCCATCAACAAGGGAATTTTTGTGGTCATTGTTGAAGCTAATTCTCCAGCAGCTATGGTTCGGCTCAGATTTGGTGACCAAATCCTTCAGATTAATGGAGCGAATGTTGCTGGGTACTCCATGGACAAGGTTCATGAAATTTTCAAGAAGACTGGGAAAAATAACATTCGTGTTGCTGTACGAGACAGGTATATTGTCATTGAATGAAAATCAATTAATTGTTCATGATATCAATCACTTGTGAATTATAGCATTGTAAGTCTTTACTCACAGGCCTTTTGAGAGAACCATGACTCTTCATAAAGACAGCAGTGGTCATATAGGGTTCCAGTTCACCAATGGGAAGATCATATCTATTGTGAAGGATTCTTCTGCTGCTCGCAATGGTCTTTTGACTGAACACAACCTCCTGGAGGTGAATGGGCAGAATGTTGTAGGCCTCAAAGATAAGGAAATCACAAAGCTGATTGATGAAGGAGGCCAAATTGTCACTATCACCATCATGCCTTCTTTCCTCTTTGACCACATGATGAAGCAGTAAGTATAGTACACCTCCTGAATTACTTTTCAGAGAACTTAATATATTTTTTCATTTTATTAAACACCAGGAGCAATATGCTTCATACCTCTTTCAAAGTTATTTGCATAACCTATCCCTCCAGTCCCTGCTTCATCCTAGCACTTGATCTCTGAGGGCAGAAGGGAGTGTGAAACATGCAAAGTAGTACTTCAGTTTGAAAGAAGTGTGAAACATTTTATCCCTAGTACATGTGTATCAATGTGTAACAGCAAAGAAAGTTAATGGGAAACACTAATTATATTACTACCATAGCATACCATTAATAAGTGTTCATGTGTACTTATCAATGTTGCAAATTTTTCTTTGAAATTTATATGATGGCTAGTGATAGTAACTCAACATCCAGTGTATTACAGAGGGCTTTGGATTGTAAAGTAGAGTTCAAGGAAAGACTTAAGCATGCATGAAAGTCACAATCACCCCAGCCTACTGTTATGCAACGGACTTCCTTTCCTGCTTTCGATGAAGCTCAGATTACTTGGAATGTATTAAGGTTGTTCTCAGGAATGAATGGTTATAATTTAAATTTATATTAAGGCCAACTATCATCTCTTGTGGTCTTTCTGTTTTCAAGTATGGCTTCAAGCTTGGTGAAGCAGGTGATGGACCACACCATTCCTGATTTGTGAGGAAGTCAAGGATGCTAAGGGATCTCCTACTTTCCTATTGAAGATGAAATTGCCCTATCTTTAGGGCATCCATGGGTATGTAATTTTCAGTTAATTTGTGTTGGCCTGATGTGATATATGCTGTGTCTCAAAAAAAAAAGTTGTCAATTTATTTTGTTTAATAGTGTGCAAGTTCCATGTTTTTCTCTACCTGGGATTTCAGTTTCAGATGAATAAGAAAGGCTTTTGCCAAGTTAAAAATAAATTCACTTTGTTCTGCAAATGCATTAACTTCTCAAAGTTGATCCAACATGGCTGAGGGCATATGGCAGCCAGTTTCAGTGATGACATTGATTTTTGCTGAGCTCCTGTGATTGTGTGTTCTTATGATTGTTTCAAAAAGTTTAAATTAAAGGATAGCTTTGACTGCAAAAAATATATCCTAGCAGTATAATGCAAGCCTCATGTTTTTTGCACATGATATCTGAAAGGAATAGAGTCAGAAGCTTTAGACCTACAAAGCAAAGTAATCAATTATTAAGACTGCAGCTAGAATGCAGTTACAAAATAAGGGGTATAAAAAATTAATCTCCTCACTGAGACAGCCTGTTGTCTGTACTCAGTCATGGCAGACAGGGCCGGATTAAGGGGGGGGGGGCAAAGGGGGCAGTTGCCCCGGGCCCCACTCTTCCAGGGAGCCCCCGAAGGAAATTAAAAACATTAAGTTAATAAAAAGTATTGTATTTGCGTAAAGTAGCAGGGGGGAGCCCTAGGAATTCACTTGCCCTGGGCCTCACAAATTCTTAATCTGGCCCTGATGGCAGAGCATGCCAAAGGGTCTTGCCTACTGAGGAGTAGTGTGCAGATTACTTGTTCACTATGATTTTAATTCCTTCAATGTTGAAAAAAATATTCCTTTTGAAACACTGGGTTAAATTAGCATCTTCCTCATTTATCTTGTATGGGAAAGTATGAGACTTGCTTCATATTAGAAGGAGATATTCAAAAAAGAACCTGCATGCTCTTCTCTTTGAAACATTGTCTTGATGATCACATAATTTTCTATGCCTGTGTAATATCCCTTATATCTTTCACATTGGAAACATTAGTAATCAATTTTCCTTCTATTGGCAACATGTATGACCAATTTCCTTTTCTTCATGACCATTGGGCCCCATTCAGGGTACTCATTTGGGGTCTGGTACCCACAGTATCTGAGTACCTCCTGTGAGATTCAGTCAATATTTAATTTTTAGCATTTTGTTTTCAAGTGAATGTTTATGAAGACTCTTCTTCCTCAAACCACTACAATAATGGTGCTAAGTTTTCGGATAGTATTCATGGATCCTATTTCTAATTTTGCTACTTCAAATGTCAGTCAAACCTAGTCTACATCTGAAGTGAGATTGTTATTCTCTAGTCCATGTTATAGGCTCTGAAGTGCCATGTGTTGCAAAGCTTTGGGAATACTGTAGCTATATCATACTGCACAAATTTTTCTCAATTCGTTGATATGCATGAAAAAAATGCAGACTAATACATAGCCAAATATGTTGCAATACCACCACATTCAAGCACAGATCATGCTTGTTTTAAGTGGTATATCTGTTTATTCTGTGTTTTCTCATTAGTGACATATTAAGTGAAATTTCTTGAAGTGTGGAGAGATTTCAACTTCTGTTGCACATCTTCTTGTTATGTGACTGTGAGTGCTTTATCTGTAATTGATGGTGATGCTGCTCCTTTTTTTCTCATCTGCATATTTGCAATTATATATGGGCGTATAGTATCACAGTGCTTTTGTATACCTTGTGATTGCAGCTTTTCTGCAATAAAAGCTTTCCAGAATCCAGTATTTGTGCTTCTGATAGGAAACTATGTTTTGAACTTTCCCCTTGCAGAATCTTTTGGGGATATAGACTCAAGATATTTCCCATTTGTACTTTCATGGATCCACAGTTGGCCTAAGTGTACCTGGTCCCCTTGCATTTTGATTAAATTTGGCACATTGTAGGGTCCACTGAGAGACTAATTCTTATTGAATTTCTGCTTCCTAAGTTGAGCTCATATTGAGGCGCTGTGATTTGGAGTAGAGCCAGAAAGTGCCTATTTCCAAATTATTGGTTTCCATCTAAGTGAATGGAAAATTTTCCTATTTAATTCAGAGATTATATTGATGCCATTTTGGAGATATTTTGATTACCTTGAATCCCCCAGAAACGATGCTTGATAATGGTGCTAATAATAGTGCAAAGATGCTTGATAATACTGACCCAAGGTTCCCGTAACCCCCCCCCCTTTGTCCTGTCCCCCTTTCCCCCCCCCCCCCCCCTCATATCTCCCATGCCCTCCCACTTTTTCCGGTTTTAGGAAAAAAGCCACCCAGAAATAAGACCCCCAGAATTGGCAAAGGCGGAAAAAAGCCACCCGGATATAAGACCCCCAGATTAGGCAAAGGTAGAAAAGTGCCATCCAGTTATGTTCAGGTCAGATTAAAGACTCATTTTTGCGACATTTAGTGATATTGATGTCATGTAATTTGATCAACTTCACTGAAATGTTATTAAACATAAAACAAAGTCCAACTTCAGCCCATTCCTAAAAATGAATATTATAGCTGGAAATCTTTTGATTTTGGCCGTGTCGCAGGATGAGATGATTGCACTCTCTCTGCACTTCTTGGAATTTTTTCTCAAGCAACAATTGCTCTGGGGCCATGTAAGGTTTTTATTTTATCTTATCTCCCTCATATCCACTTTCACTCCTTTTTCCGGGGGGTGGAGAGGATCAGGATTGGCTCCCCTCCTCAATCCACCACCCTGAACCGCCCATTGTCCCCACCCCCATTTCCATCAGCAGTCCCTAAGTCCATGTTCATAACGGGACAGTCCTTCCCTACATTATAAATGTAGGAAAAGAATATTTCTTTAGAATCGATTTAAAGAAGTGCTTTCAATCGAGAGATGTTTTTGCCTTTTCCATTCTCAATGAATGGAAACGAAAAATCAATAATATATTAATTGAAAAATCGGTGGCAATTCATTGAATATTAAAAACATAGATAACAGTCACATAACTGCATGAATGTGTCTTAAGGTCGCCAAGTGAATGTCTTTAATTATCTGATACGTATAAATATATATAAATGAGAAATTATTAAGCAATGACCTGGGTGGCTTTTTCGCATTTTCATCTCGGGTGGCTTTTTTCCGCTTTTGTCAATTCTGGGGATCTTTTTTCCGGGTGGCTTTTTTCCGAACCCCCTTTTTCCATCCACGCTACGCTTACGAATATACGTATAGGTTCGAACAGTCATGGGGGGTCCGCTGGTTTGTTCCCGAGGGATGGGGGGAGGGGGGGGGGGCAAGGCACAAGAGTGGCAGAGCAGATGCACACGCAAGGGTGATTGTATCTTTTATAAAATGATAAAGTACAATTTTCTGCACTGATTAGCTGAAGGTACAGCACGATACAGCTTATTATACCAGTGACAACAATTATTTATTAACATTCAGTATAACAACCTCAAGAGTATACAGTACGTTTCTGAATGGAGTGCTTTGGTAGGGCCCGATCAAATCACAATATTTATAAGAGAAAAGTAAGTGCTTCTCCAATGCAGTAGTTAGGAGCAATTATTTGCATTCCTATGTCTATGCACATTAAAATCACAATGTTACAATTAAGTAAATACGAGGGAACAATGATCAGCAGTCATAGATGTTGGCACATTAAAATCACATTCTGTTGCGAATGTGAATGAAGTAAACCAGTGCAATTAATATTCGGGTCGTGTTTGAATGGTGAACTACAAATCAGTTATCACAAAATAGTATGCCCTGAATTGAGGAATCTTACTTGGGCCTCAAAGTACCCCTTACCCGTAGACCTATAAATACAACACTTATATGTCTGACAATGAGACAGTCCAGCAAGCAATTTGAAACTACGTTGAATCAGCGTTCGTAATGTTGGTCCAATGTAGTCTTATTTGCTGGGAGGGTCTTCTACTCCTTAAAGAGGAATAGCAGGCGCCTTGATTATAAAAAAAAAAAAAACAAATGTAACCCCGAGCTTCTAACTGAGCCGTTGGGGTGCCTTCTTTAAAGCTTTTATATATATATATATTTTTTTTAGCAAACTGGACAAAAATAAGTACCAAGGTGCAGGCATAAGCTCACTCGACTACGGTAGGCCTCGTGCGAACGACCTACAATGAAGACATGAAATAGTCATTCAGCCTGGGATACTTGCATTCCATATTGTACGATAACTTAGCACTACGAAAGTACAGTACGGCGAAAGAGGAAACTTGATTTTTCATGTATTCTTACACTCACACCATGGACTCGCCTTGCCATGGCGACGCACGCGATGTCATGTAGAGCAGTAGTGTTACCGTAGCCTCTGGACCAGCTGGGTTGAGTTGAATTTTTAACTCGTTAAGCATAAGTTAGTGTCATCTTTTGGTAGGAAGAATAAATATGCTTTGCTTGATAAGATTGGAAACGATATTTCATATTGCGCGGCAAGATTGGTCTAAATGGTGCTACAGAAGAGCATTAAGTGCATTCAATTTCTTTTAGTATTACCAGTAAATTGCCATGCCCGATTTCCAGAGGGGGGCAAGCGCCCCCCCCCCCCCTTCCTTGCCCCTTAGAGCGGACGTTCATGAGTACAGTCAACGTATATAACGTATTTTCTTTCTTGGGAATTTTTTTTTTCCAGTTCCCGGCCGGTCACCCGTTCACATGCTTGTTGAAATGTTTCTCTATAACGAAGTTCTGTATAACGGATTTTTTGGTTTAATAAGTCATTTTTTCATCCGAAGGAACAAAACTGTTGTATGTTACGAAGTTTATATCTGCTGCACATTTCAGAGCTACTTTCTTTCGCGCATTCCCGAAAAATCTCATTTCATATCTAAGATTAACATGTCCCGCCCACTCATTTGTGTGACCGTGGGGAGCAAGGGTGCAGTCAGTCAGTCAGTCTTAATCTTCTCAGGATCTTTACCCTTTAATGCATGACTTAGCAGATATGCTACATACCAAATTAAAAAATGTAGAATGCGTAGGTAGTGAGCTCCTGAAGTAAATCGGTTCTTAGCAGATGTGCAACAGTCCGGTCCTTGGCACCTAGCAACCGCGCGGTCGCTACGTGCCATGCACTCCTGGCGGCAAGCAAATTGAAAACACCTGACCTCGTCGTGTGACTGACGTTTTTGGCGAAATTATTTTCAACTTTACTCTAATCCAGGGTCCAGGCTCATCCTTGTTTTTACATTTTTCTTTGCGTTGAGGTATGGACGAATGCTGACGGACCGACTGAGCTCTCTAGCGTCCATGGAGCGTGGATTAGAATGCTGAAAATGCTGTTAGTAGCAAATGAGGAACAATAACATTTTCGAGCCTACTACTTACAAATTTGAGGGGAAATTCCCCCCCCCCCCCACTTTTCCCGTGTTCTAGGACGTAAGTAAAACCTACCAGATTTTTTTTTTCGCCCGAAAAAAATCATGCATTTAAGAGTCACGGTCAGGCAATTGAATCCTTCGACAATCTCCGGCTATTTTTCATTCAAAAACCGAATGTTGAGCCTGAATACAGAACAGAACTTCGTTATAGAGAAAAATTTCAACATGCATGTGAACGGGTAAACGGCCGGGAACTTGAAAAAAAAAATGGATTTTTTTTTCAATGGACCCTACAAGACCCCCAAATGTAACAAAAAATCGGAGGGTCCAGATATTTGGCTTTGCTGACTTGATACGGACCAACTCTCCCCTTCAATGTCCATCTGAATGGATGTGGAAACTAATAAAGTGGGAGGGAGTCAGAGATTGACTCGAACCCTGTGAAGAACGGAATAATTCGCTGAAGTCTGCGAAAAGTTTCGTGTCTTCAACCTCCTAATTTGTCCCCCTACAGAAGCAGAATTATAAAACCGGATTTCAAATTGCGGTAATAGATCAATTACTCCTGTGACAGTAACACCGCAATTCTTGGAACCCTCGTGAGCATGTGCACCTCAACTCACTCAAAAGCGCAGTTAAACTCGTTCACGAAACTCATGAATCGCGGTGGCTTCGTTGTATATCAAAAACATAAATCCGTCCTGTGCGCATAAGGTGAAATACCCAGTGATTAGCAAGCTCGTAAGAACAACTCCAGCAACGAAGCATGCATAGCCCGCAAACCCATACAGTGAGCTTGGTCATCCTCCTGTTAGCTCGTCTGTGACTTCGGGGATGTGCTTGATACACATCCTTAGTTGTAAGTTGCAGTGCAGGAATTTTCCTGCACTGTGGCCCATCGCTGGGTCTTGTACCGTAATACTGGTCGCGCTGAACTGGTTCAGAAGTAAATCAGATTTCTTACTTGGTATGTGCCACCCATATCTCGGCATGATGCAATCATGATAGGTCCCTTCCTCTACTAGACCCGTCCCTTTTTTACATACATTAAAAAAAAAAATGATGCCACACTCCCAAGACATGCAGACACACTAAACGAGTTCGAATTAATGGGCTTGCTGAACTCTTTCCAAATAATGAGCGTGGAAACTGCGTTCAGGAATAATATGAAGAATTTCAGTTGTAAAAGTTGAAAAACAGGATGCCGGCTCTTGTGCGCCACTGCGTCCTAGCGTACTAGTACCCTTTTTGCAAATTGTCTTTGTTGCAATAGTATATTTCATAATTTCGCTACAGCAAGGTGATTTAAAAAGAGAACAAGTGCTGAGTTCTCGGTGCAATAAACTGGGGTCACCCGTAGAAGGAAAAGAAGTCTGCAAAATGCAGGACCTGCTCAACTCTTACTCTCCAGTTTTGGAAAGCTCCAGG